AATCATCAATATTTATACTCTAACTGTTGTTGTAGTCTGCTTGGTACTTTTATTCACCACCAGGAAAGATTCCTTAATTGCGTCCAATGGACTGATTCAAAAAGAAGCACACAGACGATTTCATATGAAATTACTATAAACTTTATTTCGTACATGCAACGATGCGAAATATATTAAAGTGAGTAACAAAAATTGAAAAAATCAAGGAACATATAAAAGCAAAGATGGTAACCCCTGAATTATAGGAATGAAAAAAAAATGTAGTATATAAGGAGGGCGCTGTATATGTGGATAGAAAAAACTGTGGATAGAAAAAACCGCCCTCCAATCGCGTTGCATCGTAAAATGGAAGCGGGACTTAAAGACTCACTTCATAACACTAGGGGGCTGCACACAATGAAAGGTTAGAGAACAGGGGCCCTATTCTCGAAAAGTATCGCACACGAAAAACTAGAGAAATGCTACAGTATATGTAACGCATACTATAGTATTTCCCTAGTTTTTCGTATGCGATACTTTTCAAGAATAGGGGCCCAGAGAACAGGGAATAAGAATTACCATAGAAACTGTGTATTTCACAAAACATGATTCCTGGTAGGTTGAAATTCTTTTTCTCTATTCTCTGTTCCCTATTCTTTTCATTGTGCGCAGCCCCCTAGTAATACAAAGTGGATCCTCAGATCCCGCTTAACTAAAGTCACATGTCACTCTTCGACCTTCGCTGAATATTTTTCTATGGTATAGACATCGTCATGTTTAGTAAGACACACTCTAAGACACTGAGCACACGTGATGGCACTGCAAAAGAGTAGGCCAAGTAAATTGACAAAGCATCATTATAATAATCTAGGAAATAGAAAACTCCAATGCAAAACTTGTCTTTATACTACACTCGATAGCATGCTATTAAAAGTACATTTATTTCGTGCTCACAAAATATTTCTTAACGAAAATTACAGAAACGGTCCGATATGGCGTTATTTCACAGAAGAAGAAAGATACACTTCAACATGTGATATTTGTGGTAGATTCCTTTTGAGTGGATATTCAGCAAGCCACATAAAGTATCATCTTAAAAGTAAGCATCCACAAATAATAGAAGAAATACGAAAAGAATTTGAAGATTCTTGGATATCGGCACATTTCATATCAAATACATCAGATGATAAATTAAAATGCAAGATTTGCTGTTACATGTTTAATATATTGCATAATGATATAGACGATTTAGCGTGCCATTTAGTCAAACATGGCTTAAATAAAAAAACTAAAAAAAGTACTAGCAAAAATACCATACAAAAAGATACGAAAAAAGAAAATTGGATATGGCAACATTATACTAAATCTCAGGATCGTAGAGCACAATGTAACATTTGCCATAAAAATTATTCTCAGTACAATGTAAATGCACTAGGAGCACATTTATTTTATGCTCATCAAATATGTCCTGACAAAGAAATAATCAAACGAAATAACCAAAGTGGCGTAATATGGCAATATTTCAAAAAAGAAGGAAGATACGCTTCAAAATGTAAAATTTGTAACTCTTCCCTTGCATATGGATTTATCATAACCAATTTAAAGTCTCATATGAAACAAAAACATCCAGAAATACTCGAGAAAATACGAAAGAAATTTAAGCTTTCGTGGGTATCGGAAAATTTCGTATTGAATACATCAAGTGACATAGCACAATGCAAGATTTGTTGTAAGAAGTTTGACATATTTAAAGATAAAATAAGTAATTTAGCGAACCACTTGTTCAAACATGGAATAAATAAAAAAACTAAAAAAAATACTGGAGGAAGTGACATGAATATGGATCATCAATCAGAAGAAAATAACGAATAACTTTTCATCAGGTTGATAGATATATTCGCATTTGAAAAAATATAGAAAATGACGGTAAATATTACAAATGCTTGTTATCCTTTTTTAGCCATCCCTTTATTGCTCTCATATGTAACGAACACATGAGAAATCAAATATTTAGTATGTAGTGATTTTCTCATAAAGATTATAAAAATTTGACTCTGATATTTAAGATGTATTTTATAAATTTTATCAATATTTCAGTTAAATAATTCCATTTAGTCAATATCAAGGTCAAATAACACAAATTTACTATAATATACTTAATACTTAAATATTTAATAACTGATGGCTGTTCAGGACTTTTATCTATTGGAGTAATTTTAGAATCAAGCATTCTTTATTTCCACAGTATTTCATACTAATCTTTCAATTTTTTAAATATTTAAATAATAAGAATTTCAGTTTTGATACGATTATAAAATAATGTACTTGAGTGAGAAATTTAACTTTGTAGTACTAATCACAACTATATATTCCAACTTTTTAATCTATTATTTATTTCGTTTGTATTTGCAGATTCACTTTTGAATAGGATACAGCAGAGATTCCAATATATTTTGAAAACAATATGTGAAGAAGCATCAACAGTTTCAACTGGTTGTTAACTGGAACTATTAAATGAACTGCCACGTTTGACGAATCAAATATCAACTTTCTAATAAGCATGCTCTGTTTATTAATTGTATTGTTAATCATTTACTATGTCAATTATTATGTACGTCACAAATAGTTGAATTTTTTCTACATATTAATCTTTTATACATGTGATATAATGTTTGTATTAGGACTATATGTATTCAAATATTATAATACTCAAATTATTCGAAATAATTATTGTTACTCAAAAACATTCGAATTATTTTAATAATGTCTGGAGAACAAAATCTGAAAATGTATTAATTAAATCTGAGCTATTAAATTCGAGAATAGAAAATGAATTGTAAAATAAATAATATTTACAGAATAATATTCACTTAGTCTGTTTTACTTACGTAAAATATGCCATTACATAAAGTTTATAGAAATAACTTTTTAATGAAACATGTATTATATATA